TCAACCACACAAATAATATTTAGTACTTTTTTTTACACTTTTTTGCTTTTATTTTATTGATTTTTAAGTATTTTAGATATAAATTTTACTAATTATATGCTTATATTTTAATAAAAAATAAATAAATTAAAATTGATTTAAAAGAGTTTATTGTATTATAATATTGAGTAAATTTTAAATATTTAAATATAAAATACTAAAAATAACTTTTCATTAAGTTAGATGGAGATTTTAAAACTTATAAATAATTTATATTAAAGTATCTTGAAATAAAATTAAGATATTATTTATTAACTTAAAATTAAAATTAAGGTGGAAATCAAGAATTTAATTACTTAAAATTGTCTTTACAGATGAGATTAGCGACGTTCACTTATTAGTGAATGAATGCGCGAACCCACATCCACTGAACACTGGTCGTGGGTTCGCGACTGACATTGTAGCGTTTTCAGGCTTTTTTCATGTATATAACATCTGTGTAGGAACCAATTTTCCCATATAAAGTCCTTCCGGGAGGCACCCCCTTTGCAGATCGCCCATTTGCTGAGTTTCCTTGTTTTCATCGGTCCAATCCAATCACTATAAGTTCGTATTGCTACTTGAAATTAGATTTTAAAACTTTCATGAATAATTTGGCTATTTTGCACTCTAATTTCTCGTTACTTAACTGAACTCCTACTATATGTTAGAGCTAGCACGATAGAAGGATTTGAAAAACGTTTTAAAATGCGCACTGATTTTGAATGCATACATTATTATTATTATTATTTAGATAATACCGTAAATTCAAAACGTATATTTAAACATAAATTCACATAAAATTTTATATATTAATATATTTGCCATCTCATGGACACTAGTTTTGAAACTTATCATATTCTCTCGTCAAAAAGATCTGAATTCGCATCTCTTTCGCTTCTTGAATTGAGAAATTTGATAATGATAATTTAGAAATAAACACCTAACAGCTATTTTAATTAATATTAAACGTATGAGGTAAGTTTGTCGCGGAAATAAAATCCGCAACTACTTAAAAGAAGAGTGGAATTTTTTAAAATAATATTTAAAATATAAAGTCTAATTCTTTCATTTAAAGATTATACTGAATATCAGTTTAATGTGACAAATTTTTAAGCACTTTCCATTAATTTTTATGCTTTTCTGTGATCAATATGTCATATGGTTCGAACATACTTGAAGCATACTTAAAGATGAAATGTATTCAGTTGTTAAAGATGTTAGCATAACTAAAAAATTGCATTTAACATACGCAATATATATTAAAATATCTAAGCCATAATTATTAATAAAAATTCCAATTTACTTTTTAAAATGGTCCGATTTAAACGCGAATCTTCTTTCCTTCATTGTAACAAAAGTGCTTAAAATATATTATTAATCCAAGTAAATAATTGAATAATGCAGTAACATCAATAAATTTAAAATAATTTTTATTAAAGATTTATCTAAAATATTGAAAAGTACAGTATAATAAAAACAATTTTAACGGTCACATTTCTCATTTAAAATAATCCATAAAGTTTATACTCAAAGAAAGAATGTTCAATTTATATTTTTATTATAATTATAAAATATTTATAGAATATTTTATTATAATATATTATCAAAAAATTGAAAAATAAATTTTTAATATTTAATATAAGACATTGAAAATTGAAA